TATATATAGTATAACCTTGCACATGCTCACGTCCCTAGTATTGATATTTTTACATATAAAATAGGATAGTGATGACTTAGTAAATATATGTTGCTATAGTTTTATTCATGTGTATAATATCTCCAAATCATATAACATAAACTTCTTTAGCAAGAATATGTATATAGACTTTTGCATCCCCTATATATATATATATATATATATGTAAGATGATCAATTCAGTTGGAACAAACTTCTTCAACAAAAACAAAGGATTCTGCATGCTTCAAAGTGATAGATTTATAATTTAAATTATAAGACTCGTATTGAAATCATTTCATAAGTCATAGAATCTTAACTTAACCATACAAAATATATATAAAAAATAGATCTTAATTTAAACCCTAGATCACCTAAAATCAACTAAAAATAACAATTTACATACTATAAAGCTAAAATCTTTAAGTATATCTTTTTAAAACCAGCTTGAATGAATAGAGAACCGAGCTATTGAGTATCCTTAAGTATATCTTTAAGTATTGACAATAGAGAACCGTGCTAATGAAAATAGTTATATTTCACAAATTATATCTTTAAGTATTGACAATATATGTATGTTATTTGGGTTTTTATTAACATGTTAGTTATGATTCAATATGTATGAACTTGGACACTATATATCATCAATTGTATTAGTTATATGAAAAGGGGTATAATGATCCGTATCGTCTCAATCTGTGTTATGACCCATTGGATAATACTAATGAAGGCTTCAATAGATATAACGATTTTACTCCGACCCTTATTAAAAAATATATAATTATTATGAATTCAAGGATTTGATGTTGTGGATCTCTAATCAACCCACATATTAATACAAATAGGAAGATAAGAGCCTCTAATCTGATGTCATTTATTATGATCAAGATTAAAAGAAAGATCTCTTTGCCAAGATGCTCTTGTGGCATTTTTAGAATTTAATTTTTTATAATATTTTTTAAAAATCCTGATACATATTTTATTGAGTTTGATACATTACCACATACCTATTGTTTAGGTATGGAATTTATAGGATAGACTTAGTATCATTAACCTAAGGTATATAAGTCACATTAAATAAATTATAGAGAAATGTTCTTGATGAAACATCCTACTAGTCGACAATTATAACTAAATAAGTATTTATAAATTCTAATTTTATTATAAGCATCCATGTGTATAGTTATATACAAGATAAGAAACCTAAAAGATGACCCACGGAGATTAACCCAAAAAATGTATATGTAAATATTAAAATATTAATTTCAAAGAAATAAATTTTACTGTTGTTGTATACATATTTTTTAATATTTTTTTATTATATATTTAGTTTGGGTAAAAAATGTATAAAATATAAAATACATTTAATATTTCTTCACTATAAGCCAAGAAGCATAATTTATGATAGACTATTAACATTAGTTAGTATTTTGATCAACGGTGAGATCAACCTTTAAGGGTACGTAATAAGTTTTTTTAAATTTGGTAGTGAAATATATTTAAGTTTGCTATAATGTTATAAGGGCAAATTTTTAACAAAACTCGTATCTCAACAAAAATCTCATATAATATTATATAAAAAGATCATTTTATCTTTATTTTCATCGGACTCGTTGTTACCTCTATCTTGCACCACCCCCTGAGTCACTTATGTTATCGTCTTTTCCCTCTTTTGCCTCGTTAGATCTATCGTCGCTTTCATGAGTTTTGTCGAACTCGTCTCACTCTCTCACGAGGGAAGACGAGGCACGACGATAAATTCAAAAACACAGGATAAAGTAATTATTTATAAAAAAAAATATTTTACTGAAATTTTGAAAAATTAGAGTGTTCCGTGAAAATTTATCAAAGATAAATTTTTTTTTCGAAAATTCGCCGATGTTATAATATTATATATCCCTAACCCTTTTTAAGGATAAATATTTGACAGAGCTCAGTGGAGGGCGAAAACAGAGGTGACGGATAGCTTGGGGTCGATTTGGGACATCATGAGGCCGGGGATCGCCGGCGCCGTCTTCGGACCGGGGTGGACGTTCTGGGTCAACCCCATCGTCTGTAGTGTCGTCAGGGCCGACGCCGTCGTCTGTTATGCCTCCCCGGTAAACCCTTCTTCTCCGTCCCCAAGTAAATCTCCCTGGTTGTTGCTCTGCGACGCGTACGGTTCGAATCGGCTCGACCGATGGAAGACCGTTGTCTGTAGTGTTGTCAGGGTTTCCTTCCTCCACTACCTCCCCGGTAAGCCCTTGTTCAACGTCTCCAAGTAAATCTCATTGGTTGCTACTCAGCGACTCGTTAGGGTTCAAATTGGCTCGATCGAAAGGGTGATATCTTGGGATCTTTGCGTCGCTTGTGGCGATCATGTTCAATTGCGTCGACATTACTACTTGTCGTGCGGAGAGGGCGAACTTCTACCTCGATAAGTCGATAGGTTTTGGACCTGAAGTTGGGCCTTTGTTTGGGTGGGAATCTTGAGTTTGGTGAAGATGCAACTGACTTAGATTGTTGCAGTGCCCATGCTGCTGATGTTGCGTTTCTTGCACTTCTTTACATTGTTTGTTTCAGTTAATTGAGTCATAATAAATTAGTATTCAGTGTCTATGATGCAAGAACTTTATAAAGCTGTTACTTTAAGAAGCTTTTCTGCTTAATGTGTTGTGTAGATTGGGCTAGTTGAACTCAGTTCTTTGTAATGCGAGTGCAATTTAGGTAAATATAATTAGGAACATTAAATTCCTAACTTAACTTTTGGGTATGACATTTCATGAGTCTAAATCTTGATTTACTATGGCTTTTGGTTAGGAACATGTTGTAGAAACCCCTCTATACTTGTTCAATTAGATCATCCAGTTATTTTATCTTATATTTCCTCATTTTGTGGTTATGGTTTCTTTTTGCCATTTAAGATTTTTCCATTTCAATAGCTATATCTTTGTTCTACCAAAGTTTGGTCATAATGCAAGTGTAAGATTATGTAATGATTGCATAGTAGTGGAGATATCCATGATTTATGCCTCTAAACAATGGATGTTTGAGTGCCATCATCACCTAAATGTTCTCCAAGCGTTTGACCGTCTTATAGTAATGAACTGAATACAGTGAATGTGAACTTTTGGTGAATGTTTTAGAATGTGCCTACAACATGCGGATGGCCAAGGTGTCTCATATGTACTTGACCCTGTGGCTGTATGTGCAGGTGCATATGCTATTTCAAGAAAACCAGAAATTAGAAGCTTCTTGAAATACTGCTAAATTAGACACTGATGGAGGTTAAAGGAATACCTAGCAGCACTTTGTGATTGTCATAATTCGAAATAACATATTCAAGTATGAGATGACTTTAATACTTATTCAAGAACTCATCTAAGTTAGCTGAATTGATAAGCACTGACTAGAGCTCCAAGAAAGCAAATGGTTTTCATTCCTTTATTCAGTTTGTAGACTGTATTTTAGATCACTACCGTGGCTTGTGCAACAAAAGGGTGCAACCTAGTGTGTATCTGATGTGGCACATGAAGTTAATTTGTAGTTGTATACGGACTTCTATGAAGATCACATAGGCCATGCTAGGTGTTGTAAGGTGTTTGTATCAGCAAATGTGGTTTGCATTGACCATGTTCTAGGCATTGTTATTAGTCTTGCAAAATACTATAGTACAACTAGTCATGAGGTGGCTATCTAAAATTTTGTAACGTTACCATCCAAGGATGATATTATTGTTTAGGAGATTGATTATTCTGGGAGTCATTATCAAAACTAATTGTAGTTTTTAAACTTTAAATGATTAAGTTGTTTGTTGTATGGTTGTAAAACTAATAATGATCAAACATCATGAAGGTGTCTTCTGCAAGACATAAGGCTGTAACATTCAACTGAGGGAAAATAATCTGTATATTTTTTTAGTTCAGAACTATAGAAGGCTTAGTGTTACTAATGTTTAAATATTTTCTATTATTAAGACTTGCTTCTAACAGAACTTCCATTAAACCAGGACGACAAGCGAGAGAGGGTTTAATTTTTTACCCTATAATAAAGTTGTAGTTTAGATTGTTTGACACATTGCACAATACTTGCAAGCTTTGGACGACGAGTTATTTGAGATTTAAAGAAAACACTACTTTTTTTGTTCATACATCCGTCTGATTTTTTAAACTCTGTTTGGAGAACATATTTACTTATAAATAGAAAAAAAAAGAACTAAAGATATGCAGCAAATGGAAACTAAAGCTATGATAACATGCATATGATTATTGGAAAAAAAAAATGGTGCTGAGTTCCATGAGATGCTTGGCAAAGAGCCAAATACTCTAGTTGGTACATCCTGAGCAAGTCGACCAGATTGTGAAGTTTCTTGCTAGGAGGCATCACTCTTCTTGAAGGAAGATTGGAAGGGCTCCTTTTTCAGTAAATTCCAAATGCATTAGCACCTGTTATTCTCCAGATCTCTTAAAAAATGACTGCCAATTTTGAGTTTTCGTTTCTTTTACAACTTGATCAGAACATGACAATAACTTGAGAGGCAGGTTACTCATCAGATTCCAGTATGATTCCTTTCTTTTCTTTAGCATCGTCTTGCAATCATAGTTCTTGAAGGTTGAAGCTCTTAACTTTTGACATATGCTGTGTCTTTTGTTTCTTCAGCGTGGCAGTAGGCCTGCTGCTTATACAAGATGCACCCACGGATAAGGGTCCGAATGGAGGGGAGTTGATGGTGTTTTGCAGTGTATTTGTTTTGATCAGGTTTGACTTCTCCACATAAAATCTTTGGAGATAACGTTCACTGATGTTGACTTTGTTTGCAGTGGGCTTGTATATTGGACTAGTCATTCTCACGATTGCGTGAGAAAATTTGTTGGGCATGCATGGGGAAGATAAAGGTAAAGCGACTAATACTCTTACGAAAACTAACGTGTCAAATACAAAAAACAGTAGTAATTTTCCCAAAATTGTATTTATGTAGATAAATCGAGTGTAAATTAGCATGTTTGGTTGGTGCTCAGAAGATGCACCATGGTTGATGACCCAGTGCTGCTTGTTTTGAAGCAAATGTCTCATACCTGAGAAAGTGTCCTCACAAAAAAATATGCAAGGTCCTGATTCATCTTCCCTGGCCTCTCTCTTTGTCTTGTAATTATGTGGTTATTCTTGTAATGAGAATAAGTGTTGCGCATTTAATGCTTATTGTTGAATTGAGAAATGGTTCTGACAGTATATACGTCTTACACCTACCCGCAGGACTTATCAAGTGTTTTGGGCCAGTATATGGGCCCATGGAAGACGGGCCCGTCTCGTCAACCCGACGGGAATCCGTAGTTGGACGTCGTTTTCTGCGACCCTCTCGCTTTGACGGTGCCACGTTACGATATCCGCCTTGACACTTTATCAACACTTGGTTAATATTCGTGCCCAGCAACAAATCTTCGCCCTCTTGAAGTCGTCAGATGCGTCTCCGATGCGCTCTCCTTCCCCTATTTAAGAGTTGTTACGCGTGCGCAGACCTTCCTCTCCTCCCTCGCCTCTCGTGCCGAACCCAAACCCAATAGGAGAAGGAAAAGAGAAAAAGAAAAAGGAAAAGAAATAGACGATCGAATTCCCCACCCCCTTCTCTCTCTCTCTCTTCGGATCCGTAACCGAAGCGGAAAAGAAAAAAAGAAAAAAAGAAAAAAAAGAAATCGAAAAGAGGGGAAACCAGAGCTCGAAACCCTAACCCTAGCGTCCTTCCCGACTCCTCCACCGCTTCGGCTCGTCGTCGACCCGCTCGAGCGAGTCACCCTTCCGATTAGGGTTCCGGCGATGTCGGGCTGCCGTCCCGGCGACACCCGACCATGAGGCCCCCGCGATGCCCCCATCGGAACATGGTCGGTAGAGTCGCCGACGGTCGCCCCGACGCCGAGGAGGATCCCTCCCCTGCTGCCGCTCCGTCGGAGGCGGGCCTTCCGGGCGTGGATCTCCTTGCGCAGGCACGGAAGGCACTTTCGTTCCGGTGCCCCTTCGACGCCGAGGAATCCACCCCTAGGGTTCCGACGCTGCCCTCGGGGTTGGCCTCCTTCCTATTGCGGGCCTCGGAGGGCCACAGAAAGCACAAGAAGTCACAGGGAGAGACCTCCGAGAAGCCTTTGGGGAACAGAAAGCCTTCGACCGTGTGGGATGAGACTGAGGAGTTCTTCCGACCAGTCACCCTGGACGATATTGACATGTTGGTGCCGAAGCTCCCGTCGGGTCCCGGTTTGCTGGACTCGTGCCTTGCCATGCAGGTGACTGGAATTGGCACGGGGGATGGCCAGAAATATGATAACTTGGTTGCTGATGCAGTTGAATTGAGTTCTATTTCATTGCCTAAGAAGGAAGAGGTAGTCTCGACGCAGCAAGTCAAGGACACTGAGAATGTTCAGGCAGCTGAGGAGGCTCAACAAATGGAAGTAGACAAGGTTGTGACAGTTGGTGGTGATACATTATCCATACATGGGGGAGATGATGACCATTCGTCTTTGCATTGGATTTTGGGCTCAAAGGAACGATTCGTGCTCACATCAGAGCGCCCCAATAAGAAAAGAAAGCTCTTGGGTGGAGATGCTGGCTTGGATAGGATATTACTGCTCCCTAATTCATTATCGGGAGCTTCTCTCTGTGATTTCTGTTGTTCTCCAGAGACTAGAGCAGAGTCAAATAAGTTGCTTCGCTGCCATTCTTGCAATGTCTTGGTGCACCAGAAATGTTATGGAGTGCATGAGGTTCCGGAGGGGGTTTGGTTGTGCGCTTGGTGTAAGCATTTAGAAACAACAGGAGAAATTTTAGAGAGAGATGGTCAGGAGCCTGGTCTAAGGCCATGCTTGCTGTGCCCTAAAGAAGGTGGAGCATTGAAAATGGTGAAAGGGGATTCTTCTCTGAACACAAGTGGCACTACTACAAAGTTTATGCACTTGTTTTGCAGTCTATGGACACCAGAAGTGCATGTGGTAGATACTGGATCAATGGAACTGGCTATGAACATGGGAGGCATAGAAGACAGACGTAGGAGACTCGTATGTAATGTTTGCAAGGTGAAGCATGGTGTATGCATACGGTGTAGTCATGGTAAGATCTCCTCCAATGATCTTTTATGGTTTTTCCTTTTCAGTTCTCATATACTGCTAAATGTTCAACTTTAGTTAGCTTGTTTTAGTTAGTAAGCATTTGCTGCAGCAAATAACACGATTTAAGTATGATGTTGGTAACACTTATTTTTGCCGTTTATGCTTGACGAGTGGGATGTAATTTGTCAAATTTCTCGATGCAACTGCCTTGTTATAACTTTCTTGTCCTGTCGATAGCCCTACGTACTTCATTTAATTTTTTTCTTCTTGATTATCTCTAAATTCTAGTGGCTAATCTTGAGACATGTTTGCTGTCTCAGTTTTGTTCCTTCAGTGACCAAGAAATATGACATTTGATCTTAGCATGATTTTGTGGTGCATGAAACCTACTTCCGAAAATCTGTATGGACAGTGAAGGGAATCAATTACCTAGTTCAGGTGTTAATTGTCCAGCTTTGTTGACATCATAGATCTATTTAGGTTTATAATTAGTTGGCATTTAGATTGACATCATATTTGTGCGGTCATGGAGTTTCTTTTTGGCAAAACTTCCAGTAGAAGACTGATTATGTAAAATTCTGATTTATCAATATTTGCAACTTGACATTATCAATTTTTGATAAAAGCCAACTGCCACCAGCTATTGGTAACAAAAGTGTAAGATTCTATGAAACTTTTATTCTTCATGATTGGTTTTGAAGTTTAAATCTTAAAAGAGTGAAACACCCTTTTAGCATTTTCCATGATTACTGCCTTTGGCTTATGGTAGCATAATGGCGGAGGCATATTGATGACCGTGGGGAAGGGGGACAGTAAGAAGATGTTAGTGTTGATGATGGTGGATGTGGAAAAGCAAATGTGCAAGTATAGATGATGGATGTGGTATCCAGTGGCTTCAAGTTTTTCTGGTTTGACAAGCCTTCTCCCATAACCTTCCCACCCGCTTCTTTCTCATTTCTATGTTTGTCTGAAAACCTAGGTCTCATAAATGACTCAATGGAATTCTAAACTCTAGAGGACTAGCTCAGTTCCTTGTAAACTAATTAGTTCAGTTTACTGTTGATTCTGACCTTATAAAAGAAATCCTTGGTGAGCAACTTTTAGAAAGCATCATCTCATGCCGGCTACTTCCAACTGATCAATTTCATGATGTTTTTAGGTATATGGCATAGCTATATCTACTAGTACAATTGATTGGATGAAGGATGAAATCCACACAAGCATGCATAACTGTCATATTCAATAAAATATGGGCCTTCACTATTTCCAGTTTTTCTTTTGTTTTGTGGTCATACAACATTGTTTTTTGTTAAACCTTCCCATTGCCTCCATAGCCGAAGCATATTTAGGGCCTTATAATCTTTTTGACTTTTTTTTTACATAAGAACCCTTGAGGTCGTCTTAGTTTTCTTTGTGGATCTGTGTTTAAATTTAATTATTGGCAACCCACTTGTGGTGCAAAAAGTTGGTTCAGTTACTTGAAATTACATTAGAAGATGATATGTTTGATTTCTTTAACTCTACGGAGGTTGACTGGAAGTGACATCATATCAGCGACAGATGTGGTGCAAATTGAGTGACAGATGTGGTGCAAAATGAGTAACGGAATCGTTTGTGCATTATTTTGGATGAGTGCAGGGAAAATAGTTCATCCAGAATCATAGGATTAGGTCAACAACTTCAAATATATACTACTTGATGTACTGAAAGAGATAGATACTATTATAGATAAGGGTCTGAAGAATAATGTTGTGTAGGATAAGAGAGTTGGAGATAGAATCATAGAATTATAGTATTTGTACTGTGAGAAGGGGAATCAAATGTTATACTATATAGTACTAGATGTACTAAAAGAGATAGATACTATCACAGATAAGGATTTTAAGAATAATGTTGTAGAGAGATAAGAGAGTTGTAGATAGATAATATTTGTACTATTAGCAGAGATATTGAATGTTATAAGTGCTTATGACTCTTAAGCGTGATCAGATAATAGAAAAGAGAATGGATTTATTCAAGGATTTTCTTCAATTAAAAGAAAATTCATCATTGCATAGGATTTGCATGGTCATATAGAGAGAGAACATGGAGAAATAAGGGTCGAATGGGGTTTTTGATGTTGGAAGAGGAACAAAGAGGGAAATATGATTTTAGATTTTGTTATAACTTACCATATTTATAATTGTTAATATTCACTTTATGAAAAGAGATAGCATTTGATTACTTATCAGAGAGCATACATTATTTTTGTACTAAATAGATAGAGTTACATATAAGAATTATGATGTATAGAGAAAGCTTGATTAATCAACAGAGATTGGTGAACTTGCTGTATGTTATTGGAAATGGGAGATGATAAGAATATCAGGCGGTTTTATTTGAATTAGATGATGGAACTTAAAAGATACAAGAGTTTTAAAGAGTAGATTGAAGAAAGAAAATATTTGGAATTTGGATGGAGATAATTTTAATATGACATGGGCTTTGATAACCGGTAAGATTATGAATGTGCTAAAGTAGATTGTTGGATATTCTAAAAAGAATTTTCTAGCCTTAAGCGAGAGTTGGTAGTGGCATGAAGAAGTATAAAGAGCACAACAGAAGTATGCTCTAAAGCCTAAAGAACAACAAACTTGTAAAAACACGGAGAATTTAGAAGATATACAGTAGTAAAAAAAGCTATATTGGAAAATACAAGGTTTTATGAATCCTAAGTTTTAAAAATGGTGAAAAGGACATTTATCACATTGTTGAAGTTAAGGAAAGGAAGAGTGGTGATTTAGATACATTAACTGCATAAAGATAAATATCATAATGTGCTTGTAAACAATATGGAGATTAAGGAAGTTGGATAATTTTTTTATAAATTATTAATGAAGACAATTTTTTTACAAGTTATTATCCTGTATATAACAAAGCCTTATACGCAAACAATAATGAAAAGGCTAAAAATTATAGATTTATTCATAAAATTAGAATAATTAAGGTGAAGATGCTTTAAAAAGGATGAAAATGTGTAAGAGGGTTGGACCTAATGATGTCTTTGTAGGTTTAGGGGATCAGAAATCTGGATTATTTTTTATAATAAAATTTGAGGAATAGAAAATGGCTGATGAATGGAGGAGGAATTTTCTTTTGGTACCAATTTATATGGCTAAGGTTGATACTCATATAGGCGAATTAACACTATGAATTTTTGAAAAAGGATGATTGGAGGAAGAAATAAGATGCAAAACAAGTGTTTGCAAGATTTGTTTGGGAACATGAGAAGTTATTTAGTTATTTAGACAATTATGAAAAACATAGAGAAACAAAGAAAGATTTGCATCTCATTTTTATTGATTTGAGAAGAGCCAATGGTAGAGGTTCTAGAGATTGGGTTTTAGAGAAGTAATTATATTGATGTGATAAAATGTATGCATGATAGAGCATTCACTACTGGTAGGATTATTTGGGATGTATTTAGTGAGTGGCTTGTAATTGCAGGATTACATCA